GACCACCTGTCTATGATAACGCTGAATTTATCGGACATCTCATCCTTGATTTTGCCTCAACAGCCAGCGTCACACCTTCCACTGCTCCGTGAAGCGTCTCAACTGATATTGGAGCTAGCGTAGAGTAGCTTAACAGAGATGTTAGTTGTCAAAATATACAAAGTAATCAATATTCACCTCGTAACGTCGTGCAGTCATATTCTCACAAACAGAAGTGGTACATTACTGGCCAAAATCCAGTCTAACCAGCCGTACACGTCCCGCTTGCGCTAGCAAACCCACATCTGCAGCGTTCCCCGGCCGTCATCTACCACACTCATAACGTCGGCAAAATCGGGGTGTTGGCTCCGCACGTGCTGCATCAGAGTACTGTAACCGGTTCGAGATGTTTGACGGGGTATCGCTCCGCACCGACATCTGAACAGGCCATCCACAGCCGTGAAGTAGAAGTTCGCAATAGGAGCCTTTGTGTAGCGTTGAGTTGCAGTGGGGTCTGAAAGCATTGGAGACTCGATAAACCACTGTCTGCCAGCCAAAGCTATGTTGGTTGTGCTGGGCTCAAATTTAGTAAGTTTGAAGATATTAGTTATATCCGTAAATAATTTATCAAAGTTGAATATTTGAAGACATTAAAAATTTTGGCCTGGTTATTTTACTGTATTTTCCGTCAATGCATTTTGACGGTTTCGAGTCGAAACCGTTCTTCCAGGAATACCGCACTTTGACATATCGAGATTGTTGCATTTATTGCCGATGAGAGGAAGTATAGTGGGCGGAATTAGATCCATAAAAAGGCTGTCAGCACATAATTATGCTGATTTAGAATAAAATTGTGAACTCTTCCCCTACACCGCTGACCATCAAGTTGAATCCAATCGGCGGAGATACGCCTGGTTACAGAGGCAATGGCGGCCATCAAACCGTCAAACGCCTACATATTCCTCTTACTCGGGCTTATTCCGTCTATAAGCCGGTTCATCATCTTGCCCTAAAACCGGCGGAGATGAGGCAACCCATAACTGAGATGGATATAGCTAACCTGTGATGGTATCAAGCTTACATCTTACGACAGCTCCTCCAACCCGCAGCCAACGTAGTTGGCAGGCTCACTGTTCGACTATAGTTAAGCAGATCTGCAACAAGGCTCATTGTTCATCCTGCAGTTGCTGCCGCAGAAGACAAACAAGGACACAGATGTTGTTACTGGTTGCAGTTGGGTGCAATCAGTTGAAGTTCCAAAGGCGACATCCCCTGGACTGCCGAGGTGGCAGGCGGATGCGTATGCGAATTAGAATAGATAGTTCACTTTACAATCTGCATCAAAGCAACCAACACTGTTCAATACACGTTGGTTTTCGGGAGTTCGAGCTCCCAAATCACGAGCACGTCACAAAGTTAACTTTAGTCTCGCGTGCAAACGATGAGAACTCGCAACGGTCGTTCAAATCAAGTCGAGCAAGTATCACCGGCGACTGCCGAGATAAATACTCGTACTTCGAGCGGCGAAGCGTCGACGCAAGCCACGACGGCTATTCCAGTGTCACCGACAGCGATTGTGCCTCCTTACTTGACGGACGTCTCGCACCCTGCTCTCGTGAAGTGGAAACGTGAGAGGCAGGAGTATGAAGACGCTATCGAAGCACGCTGTGCTGTCACTGGTGAAGATAAATCGAAAGCGCTTCGAAGCGTAAAAAACTCATTTAACAGGCAACTTCTCAACACGTTGTGCAAATTTGAATGGGGTACGACGGTGGAGGAGGTTACTGAGGAGCAAATTGTTGAAGAGTTGAACAAGATCGTGGGAAACGTCATGAATGACGCAATCCTCGACGTCGATTCGATTTTCAACGCTGAGTTGAAGATGAACTTGAAGGAACGAGATGTCAAAGCACGCGTGATTAACTATTTCATGCGGTGCGATGAAATCATCATGCAACACCGAATGGCAGGTATTTTTTCTACTGCAACGGGGATCAAGGAAAAATGCAAGATCCTCAAGATGCATTTAGAGCCTGCGGCGTTGCGCGAATCCGTTGACTCCCACATTCGCCTCGTAGATGCAAGTAGCAAATCAAACGAGAATGATTTGTACTTGTTGATGAAGGAGAAAGCGTTAGAGCAAGAGAAAGTGTATCAGCTCTTAAACAAACGGAAACAACAACCGAACACATCGCGAAGTGGAGGAAAGGCCCGGTATAACAATGGTCAAGGATCACGCCAACACAACAAACTGGCGAATAATCGGTCTAACTCAAATAGAGAAGTCCATAAGTCTACCGACCCTCCTCACCCTGCACCTGTACGGTCGACAGTGTCTACTGTACCAGCAAAAACTATGCCGCGGACAGGATGTTTCTACTGTGGCAAAGATCATTGGCTCAGCCAGTGTCCGGATCTTGACGAAGCCGGAAAGGAAGCCATTTTGGCCGATCGAAAAAGTAAAAAAGCAGCCAGTATCGACAAAAACAAGCGATTTCGGGCAAAACGTGTAGAGATATCGTCTACAACGAGTAATGAGGACAGCCCGACAGTATTAATTAACGGAAACCTCGAGCTGCCTTATTGTGCCGACAGCGGCTCTGACATGAACATCATTTCGCGCAAGCACGTCGATCTGCTTTGTGAGCAGGATGCGACCATGGTGGTTGCCGAACTGGATGCACCAATCATTTCTAGAGCAGTTGGTGGTGGTATGGTCACCTCGACGCACGCTGTTGACGTACGCATTACGCTTAACACTG